ACTTTTCCCCCTACCTGTCTTCCTTACTGTAACAAAAGGAATACATCAGCCTTCAAACTCGCCACAGAAGAGCCAGGTGCAAAGTCCCATATATTGTGTTAGATTTTATTTATGCTAAAGTGAAACACTTTGTAGTGCCTGTAATGCAACACATGTGACAATGTGGAATCCAATCTGTTATGAATCCTTATTACCAAGAAACTACCACTGGTCTGCTGGATTGCATTGCTGAAATGCTACACAGTCTGTTCTCAGCTTCACTGCCATCTTGTTTTCTCTGTTCTCCCTTCTCCCACTTAGTTATGACAGCCTGAAACTATAAAAGGTAATTCACTATTACGCTAAGATTAAATATATTGTTCAAAATTATACAGTTTTGGTAATTTCCTTTCTGCCTCTCTAGCAACATTGGAAGTACAACAGGAAAGCTTCACGGTAGCATGCAGCCACATTTGACATATTATCTACATGTGATAAATGTGAAGGTGGCCTTTTGCTGTTTTGCCATCTCTGTCTTTCTCTCTGCTGCCTTAAAGCCATTAGCTTGAAAAGATACCAAGCTATTGCTGGCAACTGATTTCAGTACAGAAGAAAATGCCTGATTGCTGCATTCTGTGAAAAATTGATAGAGATGTTGATTAGAAGCTGGCTGCAAGTAAAAGTAGGACAGCTCTCTTTTGACTGTTCCTAAAAGGAAGGGAGAAATAAACAACAACCATAAATAGTGGAAAGTGAGTCAGCTCAGAGGAACTGATTACTTCAAAGAAAATATATCAGAGAGAGCTTTCATTTGAAAATATGTAATTTCTTCTACTTCAAAATGGCACTAAAAACAGTTGACTACCCTTCACTTGAACAGGAAGGTATGTGAGGTACCATATCTCTATCAACCAGAAGATGCATGCATATTTAATAGAAGCACTGTACAGAGACAAGCTGTTCTCAGTTCAACTGAGAAGGTCACATCTCAAGATTTGAAAGTTTGGGAATTATAGATAACAGGTTAAAAATAGCGTCTAATTACAAGCATATTTACCATAATGGCATTTCAGCTTAAAGACAGTAGGAATGTCTAAGAGACAAAATATTAATCTGCTGTTTAAGAAGCTCTCTTTCTGTGATCAAGCCTATTCTTGGCAGAATACACTCTAGCCAGCAAAATTAAAGTAATGCATACTTCAAGATACAGAGCATGCTTGATACACAGAAGGCAAAGCACTATTAGATTTAGACTTTGTGAATGACCTGAAGTGCAAGTTAAAAGTAATTTAGATGATAAACGGTACAGTTACTCAACACTCAATATCATCAATAATCACTTTAAAAATCACTTTAAAAATCACTCTGCTTCTCTGCACAGTTTTCCAAGTAACAGTATTTGCTTCTTCCCATAACTCAAATTCCTCTGGGAGGTGGTGTCTTTATAAAAAGCAGTGATTAGCAACACTGCTAAAGCAGGCTTGAAGTTCTGGAAGAGGAAGTTGATACGAAAACTGAGCATGTGTGAAATGGGAATTGTGCACACGGTCAAACAGAGGCTAAAATAAGTACATGTTAAATGTGGACTAATGCATAAGCTAAAAGGCCAGGATATTAATATGTAAACATCTGTCAGTCTTTAAAGAAAATACTTAGCATCTTCTGAATTTCTAAAGGTTAGCCTCCTAACTTTCTGTTTCTAGAGATGAGTGGAAATTCTCACTTACAGAAATGTGACTACTCCAATGAAAACAGCACTTTCCCCAATTCACTTTACAGCACAAGGTAAATCATAATGATTTGCCTCATCTTGCTGTTCCACAGTGAGTCTCTCAACTGTGACAGATCATAAAGCCTGGTGCTGCTCTGAATCTGGTACAGGCTGCCCTGTTGTTCTGCAGGTGCACTGGTCAGCTGGAAGGTCTCAGTTAGCAAGTTTGAGAGCCTTGCTTTTGGCCTGTCGCTCCCCTGTGCTTAGAGAAACTCATTTTGGAGCCTTCAGCCAGCAGAGGAGTGGGATCAGGGCATTGCTTACAGCTTGGGGAGTGGAAGTAGGAGCAGAACTGACCTTTACCTCAGGATTATAGCTGCCCAGCTTTTTGCTTTTCTTTATAAATCATCTCTTTGTTCTTTTTTTTTCTTCATCATCTTTTTGCCTACAGCTCTCTCCTCTAAAAACTTGATTTTTCATTATCCCCCAAAAGCTGCCTGAAATCCAAGAAGCAGTTAAGACCCACAAAGACATAACTGGGAGGACAAAGAACTTGCCTAGCTGTAAGCAAGGCAGTCAAATCCATGCAAGGCTATAACTGGCACAGCTATAGGATGTCCAGGTATTACTTCACATTGTGCCCAAAAGTCTCACTAATTCTGTCAGTGATCTGTTCATCACACAGAGGAAAACCACTTTTAGAAGCTTTGTTTGCATCACATTTGTGCAAGGCATTACTGTGGGACTACGATCTGCACTATCATACAGGTGATGGAGACCTGAACTGCCAACAGGGTGTTGGGGTATGTTTAGCTTGGTTCACAAAAGCATGCACATAAATGCGTGGAGCATGTAAACTGAGAAACACTACACCCAAAAGAAAATCTGGAGCTTTTGGTTCCTAATAACTATATGAAAGCATATACTTTATTTCTTCTTTTTAACTTACAGGTTATTCTTATACCAGTTAGGCTTTGCTTTGGGGTTTTTGGTTTTGTTTCCCCCTCTCCTAATTCATCTCCTTACTGTTTTGCTAGGTCAGTGATTTTGAAATTTATTTTCCAGTGAGAAAGCAAAGATTCACAAGCAGAAGCTATAAATGAATTAGATAGAAATAATATGACAGATATTGATGCCCTTTTCACTGAAAGAAACCTTTGAGAGTAGAGACAGCAGGACAGGAAGACAGTAAGCACAAGGCATCATGGAAGGGCACAAGGAAAAGTGTTTTTATAGGATAAGACAGTGAGACTCTACAGCAAAACTAAAGGAGAAAAACAATTCCAGTCAAACACAAATGAAGCAATAACTTCCCAGTTGCCAGTGTCCTCTGGCAACAAGTCCATTCAGAGATCAGTTTAAAAAAGTATTATCTGTTCAGTGCACAGAAAATGATAATGTTAATATGCTCTGCTGTGCTCACTGCTTGTTACTGTGATGGGGATTTCACTGCAAGGCAGCTTTAAAAAACTTACCGAGCTAACAAAATCCTTTCCCCTCAGTTTGCTCACCTTCAGTTATTTTTATTTATTTATTTATTTATTTTTCCCCAAATCTTTTTTTGTCTTAATTTGATCTATCTTGTTTCTGACACTTACCATGCTGGAGCTATTCTACCCAGTTAACATGAAGTCACCCAGTTTTGAAGAGAGCTTTTTGTCAAGCCTTAGGCACCTGGGGATCTTTTCCTTTTCTGTCTTGGGAGAACAATTAAAATGTGTTCAGGTTTTATTTTGATAAGGAATTATTGAATAGCAGATGCTCTTACTAACCATGTCTGAAGAAGAAGGGGGTACTCTATACGTGTACCCATGCAACACAAGAAGATACTAATTTGTCATGGGCTAACACATGGAGATTAGTATTGAGATCTGTTGGATTTGTTGAAGCAATGATCTCAGAAGTATTTTGACCTTTTATGTGCTCCGTTTGTGGTAGTTCCCCCCTGCATCCAACTAGATGCAGTGAAGTTCCTGTGTCTACTATACTCAGCGTATAATGAACAGAGGGAAAACAAAAGTGACTGTGTTAGCTTTTGGTAAAACCACTCTTGTGATCATTCTTCTAATGGAAATACATTTCCTTTTCTATCAAGGGCTGGAATTTAGTCTTTCTAATTTAACTATTACCATTTATTCATGATTTCTTAGTCACAGAAAACAGTATTGCGTCATTATAGTACCCCTGAACTTTTTTTAGGAATGGTGAATCACATTAATTCCAAGAGTGTCTCCATTAATTCATGGACTTGTACCAAGGATGAATTTGGCCAAAAGCATTTTGGGAAAGCTGCAAATGTCTATTGTATTGCATCCATCTCAACAAAGAAAGAAGAAAAATAATAGGAAATCTACTGATTTGCTATACTTTTTCAGGCTTAAGTGGTACAATAGAGTGCTATTTCCTACATTTATTTTGTTAGGGTGTCTTGCCTGGCTTCTCCCAGGGTCTGAATGAAAGCTGAATGTAGATCTTTTGTTTTGAATGATTGACAGAGTGTGAGGTTAGACAAGTCTATTTAGAGACTGTCATAACCCCAACATAAGGGATCTTGAAAAATATACAGACTTTGTAATGGTGCATAACTCTGTTTCCCCTGAGTACTATCCTATTCCAGTCATTGCTGACAGAAGAAAGAACTATCAAAATAACAAGGTTCAAAATAAACCTCTGGAAATTCTTACAAAGCATGAAAGACTATGCTTCAAAATCTTGGACTGAGGAAAGTACAATATGTGTGCAAAGAAACATTTAGAGGAAAAGTACAAAAGAAACCAAACCCTAGCATTAAAGAGAAGAAAGCTGTAAGAAACACTTTGAATGAACATATAGGAGAATGTGCCACAGAGGTAGGGCAAATGCCTAAGAAAATTACTGTACAATTTTTCATAATACTTATGCAATGGAAATCCAGTTTCAGGTGGAATCTTTTTCAAAATTTGAGATAAAAAATGGTAAGTACCATTACCTAGTACATTTTGAATCTTTACAATGCTTTTACTACACATCAACAAATAAAATATAATCTAATAACAACAGTGAACTATATCTCATTTATAATAGCAAATACAAAACCAGTGTTTACTAGGAAAGATGGAACAGAAGGGAAGTAGCAGTGCCTGAGTACAACTATGAAGCAGAAAAGCGTTCAAAGGAATAAAGGTGGCAGACAGGAAACAGTCAAATCTTATAAGAAAGGAAAACAGTGAGGTTTGTTTAAGATTTGCTACTTCAGTATTTCTGCTAGGACAGGTTTTGGCAATCTCAAACAAAATGGTAGGAATTAAAGTGGTGAGTAAAAGGGTCTTACCCATGTGGATGAATTGCACTCCATGTCAACTTTGTGCACGGATATAAAGAAAATAGAAAAAACAGAATTGATTCAGATCAATCAGAGGCACGTAAAAAGGTAATGAAAGTTTTTCAGAGTTATTATTTAATTAGTTTTAAGGGAATACGAATCTCTTCATTGTCAACTAAAAGGATTTTGTACTGATGACTCTAAGTTTACCCAGATTACCAAGCCACTATTTTGGACAATTTCTAGTACGTCACTTGAATTCAGTTTATACCCAAGACCCTCAGCTTTGTCCCCCAAATATGTACTGTGTCTACTGTTAGTGTAGGCAGTATATATACATACAGGAACGTCAGAAGTTTTTTTGTTTTGCTTGGTCTTCTAGTTTGATGTTGCGCTGATTTACTATTTTATTTTAATAGAAAAAAAAAGTGTAATTGCACTTATGCTGCAAATAATATTCCATTGCTGGAGAGATATGTATTATGTGTATCCTTACTGTGCCTAATGTGTGAAGGATACTCCAAAAGTAATGCCTTCTATTTTATTCTGTTGGCCCATAAAGTCAGAACAGATGTTGGTGCGATGGTGCTACAGGTTGAAACTTCCCAACAGTATTCTGATACATTTTATTGCTGTATGGCAGATGGAGACCAAACAGGGAATGCTAGCATAGTGAAGCGGTATGTGCTTCATTTTAGCAGTGATGTGAAACACAAGCCATGCTCTGGACAGTTATGCACAGCTGCCATACCACAAAATACCTCTTGATCATCTCATCTGAGTGGATCATGACCAGGGAATTGTGTATGAAGCTGAATATTGGCCTCAGTGCATTGGAAATGATGGTGGCAATGTAGGAATATCATAAATTTTGCGCCAAGTGGGTCTCATGAACGTTCGCACAGGTGCAGAACAGAAAGAACATAAGCAAGTTTTTCAGGACCTATTGAACCAATGCGAGGCTGAAGGTGACAATTTCCTGGATCACATTGTTATCATTAGTGGTGTCACCTGTATGAGCTGGAGTGAAAACAGGAGTCCCTGGAGTAGCAATGTGCATTCTCCATAAAAAAGAAAAAAAAAAAGAAAAAAAAAGGACAAGCTACAGCCCTCAGTGAGTAAAGTGTTGTGCGCTGTCTTCCGGGATAGGAAAGGGATGATCGTTCTGGATTTCCTGGAACCCAGACAAACTGTCAGCTCTAACTACTACACTGAGACACTAAGCTGAAGGCTCAAACTTCCAGAGCCAGGCCAGAGAAGAAGACAACTCTTCTCCTGCAACACAGTAACGGCAGACCACATACCAGTTGGAAGATGGGGGAGCACAGTGACAATCTTGACTAGAATGTCCTACCACATTCATTGTACAGTCTGCATTTGGCACCTTCTGACTTCCATCTGTTCAGGTCGATGAAAGATGGACTGCGTGAACAACATTTTCTTAGCAACAATGTCATCATAGCAGCTGTGGAACAGTAGGTCACCTCCAATGGTGCAGACTTTTAAAAATGTGGCATGCAGGCTCTTTTCATCACTGGTGAAAATTCACAGCTAAAGATGGTGATTATGTTAAAAAAAAAATAGTGATTTTTAGCTGAGAATCTGCTCTATCAAACAGTGCTCTTTGTACCTTTTGTAATTTCCATAAATAAAAATGAAAATAAAAAGGATGCATTACTTTCAGAGCAAGCTACGTACATGAAGGAAAATACACAGAGAGGTACTTATTATTAAGTAACATCAACATTAATTTCTTATAATTCTTCATTACTGTAAAGAAAAAACAAAGAAGATACATTTTTATATAGAACCTAATTCATATTATCAGCAAAAACTGATAATTTCCAAATTCTGCTCTTCCACAAGGATTATTAATGAACCAGTTTTTTCACAGAATAGTATATCTTTCAAGAACCTTAAAAATTTTAACTTTTTTTCCACCTTATCTTATTTTCCGTCAAATAAAACTAAATGAGAGAAAGCAATTCATGTAGTAAAAAAGTGTATAAAAGCCAATAGCAGTAGGAGATTATACTTCTGAACTTAAAAAAAAAAAATAAAATTACTGAAAAACTAGCATAGTGTTGCAGGTTTGTACAAAGCTGTCTTAAGAAATAAGATTTTACGTTATTAAGCTTTGGGCAGTGCTTGTTTTCTGTTATAAATCAGATTACATTAGCAATCAACACATACAATCACAGAATCTGCTCAAAATAAAGATGATACTCATTTGAATATATGAATAAAAGCACTCATCATCAAATTCAGCTCTTCTCCTTCATGTCTCCACTACAGAAGTAATTTGATCTGAATAACTGAAATACTCCTTTGTCTGTTTTACTGAAGTCATTTATGACTTTTTAAAACGGGAACTAAGACTTAAGCATTAGACAGAATGCACTCAACAGCAAGTAATTAATTAGGTACAGGTTAGCAAAGAATTTTCTGCCTCCATTTTCAACTGTTTGCTCTCGTGTCGTATCCTACTGTATTACTCCTGCATGAAAGACTGAACTCAGTTACACCTTTAATTGCAGTGCAGCTTCAGCAGACACATTTGCATATACACGTAGAGGCTCTCCTATATCCAGCCTTAAAACATCATAACTTTGTGCTGTACAATGAGTCTGCCTACTGCCATAGAATAATCTTCTGAAGAGCAAGCAGCAGGACTGGTTGAGGTGCTGGGATGTTAGTTTCACAGAATTGTATTGATAATGGAAATAACAGAGCATAACCTATTTATACATGTAGACTTTTAAGTAATCATTATTTTAATTATATCAAAATATCAAGTGGCTTTTCTATAAATGTGTGAGAGAGGAAATCTGATTTAGCAATCAGGACATGTCACATCAGTCAAGATATCAGAACTCTATATGAGAAAATGTATTTTAAACATTCTCCTGGATCAATTATTAAGTTAATTTTATTCAGCAGAATGACTTCCAAATGACTGCATTGTTTAACTTCAATTTCAATAACTACTGCTTCACTAAATAACACTTCTCCAGTGACATGCATGAACTAAATTCTGCATTACCCTCATCTGGAATGGCTTCCCATGGATTCACTCATTGCACTGACTTAAGAGATTTCCAAAGAAAGCGCCTGCTTCACTGCTGTTTGGAAACCTAATGTTTAGTACGTGAGGAAAGTGAGCTGTACATAGAATAGGAGAATCTGTCCTAACACCATGCCCTCCTGTCTGTTGGAATAGAGTGGTTATGTAGGCAAGGATGCTAATGCATACATTCAACTTGCCCAACAGTTCACATCTGTCAGCTTGGACACAACTTCAGTTTTGGGTGGTACTCTTCAAAGTCTTAGTAAGGTTCAGAGAAGATGGCATCTTAGTACGTCATCTTTCTGTTATATAGTTACTAAAAGCACTGAAACAAATCCCATGCAAAACAAACCAAGCTACATTAGAACAGTAAGCAGCGAAAAGTCCAACTTTAGGCATCTTGACTCTAAAATGTCTTGGTCTTGCTCACACTTTATATGCCTGTAGGTAACTTGTATCAGTTGATCACAATATGGGCTGCTTGACAGGCTATGAATATGCCTGTGTTCATGGAACTCCAGTGAGTATCAGTCATTATTGACACCATCTGTTTACTCCAGGGCTAACATTTTCAATCTGTTCTGGTTAAAGGTACATGTAGAAGAAGCATTCAAGCAGCTCTGGTGGAAGAAAGGAATTTTTCTTCCACAGAAAGGATTTTCTTTTTTTAAGCTTTTTTCATACGTTATGCAAACATCATATGAAGGGTCCAGCACGCTTAAAATAGCTTCTCAAAGAAGAAATGAAACAGAAGGTCTATTAATTTTTGGCATAGAGATTGAATGTTTGACTTCCTATAATCAAAGGTGTTATTCTTGTTGGAATAAAAATATACACTGAAAAGTCTCACTAAACAGACAGTTGTATTTTCTTCGTGAGAAATAAGAAATTAAATTTCATGGGAAATGAAATTTTAATAAAAAGTGTGATGTGTATTTCAATAGAGTGTTAATTATTAGCTGACAGATTTTATGAGGAAGAACATACGTGAGCAGCTTATTTAAAGAGGGAAAGTAAAGAGTACAAGGAATTAGTCTATTATGATACATGATTATACTCAATGTAATGTTGCATGTTACTGACTGTTCTACGACAGTTGAGCAATAATTACCCAAACTGCTTCAAATCATTTACCAACTGCCTATAATTTGTAGCTTGAGATGTACAAGACTTACAAAGTTAGAAAGAAAAAAAAAAAAAAAAAAAAAAAAAAAAGCAATGCAGACTGAAAATGGAAGCACCGTAGACTTTTCAGTGATTCCTTTGTTACCTTCTTAATGGTGAAAAAATGCACATGAGCATGTAGTTCTGTGTTAGCCAAAATGAGATACAGTTCTTCATTTCCTCTGCATTCCTGAATTTTATTTTGTTTTTCACTTAATTCCAAATGACAGAAATTTCATTTCTAAGCTGATAAATAGTCAATGAATGCACATGCTTTATTTCCTGTTTTCTTTATAATGGTGTCACTGAAATGTCTCAGAAAAAAAAGGACTGGAACTTGCAGAGTGCTGGATGATAAACGTACGCTGTTCAGATGGGTCAGAAGGATGATCTGTCTTTTAAATTGCAGCATAGAATAAAGGCGTGCAGGATTGAATAAGCATTGAAAGCATTTGGGGAATGGCAGCACACAGCCCTATACAAGATAATTTTCTTGACAACAAAGTACATATGATTTTGGATACCAGAGTTCAGCTCCCAGCTTGATCAATCGCTTAATCAATCTGCTGTGCACACCACAATGACTTGATTATACTCTGACCAGCAGATCTCAGAGAGTCACTAAGTGTTCAGTGCTCACTAAGCATTCCAGAATACAGTTTTCAGAGAATTATTTGTTAACATTTATGTTTCAATCATTTTTTTAAACTTCCTTAAATCAGTTGTTTTTTTGTTTGTTTGTTTTGCTTTTTGCCTGTATTTTCTTAACTGGCTACGCTATTAATTAGATGTCTCATCAGAAAGCCATCCATTGTCCCCCTTTTTTCCACTGACTCCCTCTTTATTTAGCAAGTATTTCTTGAAAAGCATATTATACTCTCTGGTATAGCAGGTGTGGCTTTGTCAGTGTTGTATGTTTAGCATTCCCCTAAGTGGATTTCTCTCTCCTTTCAGACTTCTGACTAGTCAAAAGTCATTAAACATATATATATATATATATATATATATAAATTGCTATTTTATTCTTACTTCCTGTATAATTAGCATAGTATGCTATTTTTTATATTATTAACATTATTTACTATTTTGTTCCTGTTCTCTGGATTTGTAGTCCTCTTGCTCTAAAGAAAGATTCAGTTCTGCCTACTCAAATGAAAAGCCTAAGCTTCTGTTCTTCAACAGAGGTAATAGCCCAATGTATAGCAAAATTAGTATTTTATTTATTTTTTCACTGCTGAAGAAAATGTGAAGAATTATTTAGCAGAATTGGACTGAATTTTATTAATTTACTTTCTTTCTAGAACATACTGAAGGCATCAGACCCCAAATATCTCTGCAAATATAATCTGTGAAGTGTCAAGACAGTAGTGTTGGCAAATGTAATGTTATTATTTTTATTCTTTGTTCCTGATGGGTCACATAATTAATGGCAAGCGATTCACAATAATGTTCTGAAACAAAATAGATTAACCTACTTAGCTTGGATCAGAAAAAGGCCATAAAAGATAGGACACACAAAATTGGTGTTCAATTCGTCTTGCCTTTGGTTTTCTTTCTCAAAAGTTTATAAGAATAAATAGATAAATGCACTTTTTGGAAAACAGTGCATGTCATTAAAATTAATATCAATTTAATGTTATTAAATATTGAAATGTATGAGACTTAACAAAAGTAAAATACAAATGAAAAATCTGTAGCACTTTAAAATATTTCCTTACACTTCCAAAAATAAAGTAATTTTAGGGACTATCAGAGCTCAAAATCACAATGTTAATGAAAAACAAAAAAATAAAAGGCGTTCCAAATTCATGTCGTAAACTGTACTGGCATGTGCAACTATGCTATGTGTGGCCAGAAGTATGTGAAGCAGAAGATAATATGAATGGAAAAAATCTGAATGTGAAAATAAGCCTTTTTTTTTTTTTTTTTTTTTCAGCTACAAGGTTAAAGTTACATCTTCCTACAAATTATCTTGAAAAAAAAGAGTCATAGAATTATAAAATCAAGGTCACAAAAAGACTTCCAAGATCATCCAGTTCAACCATCATCACCTACCACCAATACCCCACTAAACCATGTCCCTCAGTATTCTAATAGTAATTACAACTTAAGAGTAATCATAATTTACAGAAGTATAAGGAAATTTAAAGTCAACAAAAACAACGTTATGAATGAAGAGGCGAAATGCCTCCTTCCCAATTTTGTCCCCTTTACAGGCTATGTTTTTTTATTGAGGCATTTATGTTTTCTTGAGCTAGCCAATAGTTTATTTGGTGCAAAGCGAAATGACACTTTTACTTTATAGAAGAAATATCTATCTATCTTCATCTCTTCTTCTTATGCTACTTTGGTCATTTCACCTCTTCTATCTTTATTTTCTTCTACCTTTTGGCTTCAGAATTGTGTTTGCTATCCTCAAAAGCTTTTCAGCCATTACAAATCGAACTGGTAAAGAAAAGAAGAGTATAGGAAAGCTGAGTGATGACAGCTGTGTGCAGGGAGTACTTTAATCTTGTAGTGTAGAATATATCAGATTATTGCCACTTACAGTCTCAAGGAGCATCGCTTGTAGGAGCTTTACTGTGAATGTACACTCCTGAAATAACCTGAGGAATTTCCCTCTCCCTTTCTTCTGCTTATCAGACAGATGAAAATTAGCCAATATTAGCAAAACTTTCTCATTCAACTATTTAGAATCATAGAATCATAGAACATTCCAAGTTGGAAGAGACTTATAGGGATCATCAACTCTTTGCTGTATATAGGAACACTCAGAAATCTGACTAGATGTCTGACAACAGCAACAGTTCTTTGAACTCTGGCAGCTTGAGCCTGTGATCGCTGACCAGGGGAGGCTGTTCTGGGGCCTCAACACCCTCTGGTGAAGAATCTTAACTCCCAACCCCATCTCCTCTGATGCAGCTCCATGCATTAAACTAACTGACACATCTTCAAAAATAGATGTTAGAGAGTGCTCACAGGAGCCATTATACCTGCTGTTATGGCAATCAGGAACAGGGAAACTCCGCTAAGCTCCTCATCAAAATAGAGCTTACAGTGTTTCATTAGCAAACACATCTGTGGCTGGGGGAGGACGTGTGTCCATGGCTGCTGCTAAATGGAATTGAGCAAGAAGCTTGCACTGATTGTTTAAACTGTACAGCAGCACGATATAGGGCACCTGTTTTGCAGGACAGCCTGTTAGAAGCAGATGTGAGAGTATAAAGCTTTGGTTCATTTTTTATTTCTCTACTGTCTCTCATTAAAGGAGTCTAGCCTCTGCTTGACATACTGCTAAATTTAAATATGTGTATCAGATCTGAATAACCTATGTATAATAGGATATGCCACTTACCTAATTAAGGAGAGGAACAGATTGCCTTAAAAAAAAAAAAAAAAAAAACATCTTCCAGAGGCTAAGAATTGTCAAACACAGCACCTGCAGTAAATGGAAAGAGATGTCATTTTTTCTGTTGATATAGGTCTCAATTTATCTCTTTTTCTTACAGTTTTATTACTGTTCTTTCTTCCTGTTAAGGCATTTTATGTCACTGAGACAAAATTTGGCATCTTTCTCCAAACAACTGTTCAAATTGAATGTCATTCTAACCTTCCAAATATTGTAAAAGATATTAGATGGTCTGTAGTATCCAGATCTCTTTGGCATGAAGCCCAAAGATTTGCAAGTAGGTCATCTCTTTGCAAACTCACCCATCTTGGAAAACTGTTTATTTGTGTAACAGTACATTTTGTAGAATAGATGCATACTGTATTTAATTGAACAAAGCTGTAAGTACATTCAGCCAGGCATCCCTACAGATGCCTGTACTGTGTATTTTACTCTGAGGACATGCAAATTTTTTCACAGCTGCTCAAACATTGCCTTGAAGCATCAAAATGATCTGAGCAATTAAGTTATAAGGAAAAATAGCATACATTCATTAAAGATCTGTATCCTCTGATATTTTGAATTCTCATGGCAGGTCAAATGTGATAAAAATGCAAGGATGAAACTTCAAATTTCTAAATGAAAACTTCTTAAAAATTGAAAGTGTTTTAAAATGATGATCCTGATTCACAAATAAGCAAGTGAAAAGCAAAATAAGAAAATCTGATAACCTTAAGAAAGCTCAGTTTCAGTACTTTCTGCATTTTTAAGTCACCTTTTGAAACACAATGATTAAAAAACAAATTCTATAACACTATCTGCAATTCAGACAAGCTACAATCAGAAAACGCTAGGAAGTCTAAGTGATGTGAATGCACCTTACAGAAACCTTTGTAACACATTAGTCTGAAGTTTCTTGAGTTCAAGCATCCTAGATATTTTTAAGAGTCCCAGAAACACACAACTCCACAGTACTCTTTAAACAAACTTCATTAGTAGACAGAGCACAGGCTGATCAAGAGTTCCTTAAAAAATGTGCACCAGACAGGACTAGAAACCAGCACTCAACCTAAATTCATGAAACACTCTGCTTTTTTTTTTTTTATTTCCTTTCCATGGAGGTAGCACAAAGCAGTTGTTCTGTCAATACTTGTAAAGAACTATGGCATATGCAATGAAACAGATAGTCTAGAATATGGAAGACCTCAAAATCTGCACCACTCCATCCTTATCTCAACTCAGAAGCAAGGCACTGAGCAAAGATGGGGACCACAACCACTAGTCACCATCTCTCTCAATGCAAAATCCTTTTGATTAAGCAGTCATGAGTCAAAAACTTTGTGCTCCCGTTTGAGATTGTTTTGTTCTTCACACACACACACAAGGGTAAAAAAAATATGTGGGGAAAGGAGCTTTTACTGATGGCAGTTATCCAGTTGCAATATGAACCAGACAGCTTCTGTCTTTGTGTCTGCCTTCATTGTGCAGGTGGAAAGCAGAGCTGTCTTCAGCACTTGGCCTGAGCTGAAGCTCACTGAGAGGAAGAGCTGGCACTCAGTAGGACCTCAGCATTTAACAAAGACCTCACTACAGTGACACATGATCATTAAGTTCCCTTCAGTTTTCCACTGGAATTCAAAGCCGGGACCAAACAGAGTCATTGCACCTTAGATAACTCTACTATAATTGCCATACAAATAAACTTGCGCAACAACTGAACATCAATTTGTAAGTATTAGAAACCTTATATAGTAGTTCAATCTGCATTAAAATCACAGTTATTTATACACTTGCCTCATTTTCCTTCTCAGAAACTGGAGGTCAGCAATTGGTGTCTTATTTACAGTATTCACTATCCTAGCTGTAATCTCCCTCCAAGGAGTCATACCAGAGCCTGATGATACTAGACAGCATAACAGCAGTTGTATGATCTTCAGTATGCTCTTGCTGTGCAAAAGATGCTTTGCCACTTTTTAAATTTTAGCAGCTTCCCTCCACCTGTATTTATTTAAATTCAAAGGTGACAATTTTACATAGCTGTTGAATTTCTCCTCTGCCTCATACTGCATGCAGTGTAGGCTACAATGTGGTACAGACACTCATCTATTGATTTAACTTTGCACAATAACTATCACATCATAACAGTTCAGCTGAAACTAATGGAACTAATTAAGCAACAGGGACCTCCAAGCCAGAGAATCAGAGATTTGCAGTTGTAAAGGATCTATCGGTCCATCTGTTTTATCTTCCTGTCAGAGCCAGACTTTTCCATGCAATATATCTTTTGTTCACTGTGCTCCAAATTGCGCTAAAAGATTGGGGCTTTCACATCTTCCCCCAGGAGACTGCTCCACACCATAATAAATCTCATTGTCACGAATCTTTTCCTGCATTCAGCAATATCATACCTCTTTAAAAGTGTGCCATTTTTCTATTTACAGTTTCTCGCTCGTTCTGGATGAAGCCCATCTCTCCACTTCTGAGCTTTAAATATCAGCAGACAGCCTTGTCCTGTCATGCTTTTGTCACCGAGTCAGGCAGCACTTTTTTCTCCTTAGGTCTCCAATAATATGCACTTTCAGTCTGAAATGAGACAGATTTGTATGTAAGAGGTAACAGCCTAGCTACTACAGACATGCTGTGAAGGGGGCTGAACAGAACCCACAGAGTTTCCGTGGGGAGGATGCATGTCTGCCTCTGCCTCTTACCACCAGTCCCTTAAGTAGCACTACATGGAGCACTGCATTTTGTGCATAGCACGTACTGACCGCAATTGCACTGTTAGAAAAGCTAAAAATTAAAGAACCATGAGCCTTTGCTTCTTCTAACAGAAAAGGTAGGAAGAGCTAGGCACTAGGCATAAAGAAACCCCTGGAAGGGAGAAGGGGCAGCTCACTGTTTCTGATGAGATGGGTGTGAGAAAAAAGTGGGATGCCTCCAGTCATAACGTTGCTGCCTGGCAGCTTCTGAATTTGCTTTGGTTTTATGGCAGAGGGGCTCGGCCCTGACTTCCAGTTTAGGGATAAAAGTTTTGTGCGTCTCTGATTATTATATTGCAGAATGAGCACAGTTGTGATGATGATGTGAAATAAGGCAAGTGACAACAGGTAGCTACTGCCTTCTAGAATTTAATAACAGCAATATAAAGGACAATGCAGATTTAAGTCACTCTCTTAACCATAATATATTGACTTTATAAACTGCAGTATATTTCTGAGAAAGAAGATCTGATTTTTGAGGAAGAATGGTGTAAGATACGTTAATGGTATCCTCATTTACTTCTCATCTCAGTATTTTTGTAATATGTAATTCATACATTAATTTCTGGCAAAGATATTTTGAATGACTGTGTCAGAAAGCATTGTCTGCTTCCCTGTGAGGTATGGTCAAAATGTTTTATAGAGTTTCCAACACCCGCTTACAAAAACCAAATCACTCTGGTTATCAGAGTTGAAAGAGGCCATTCCCTGAGGGGGATTTATTATCCTGTTGGTGTCTTCTATTATAATTCATTAACCTCAGCACAACAAAGTTGAAGTGTCTGTTCTGATGATTGATAGGAGATCCCAAAACACATATTTGACTCTCAACAATTTATTGTTTTCTCCTGCATTTTACTATATTTACCATTCTTCATCTCTACAAAACGTGGGTTCTTTTCTGATATGCTGCCCAGCCTGCTTTAGCTTTGGAAATTAATTCTTCCATTTGGATTGCTTTAAATCATGATTCATATGGTTTTAAAATTCACTTTAATAAATAATAATAATAATAATAATAATAAAGTTAAAAGAGACTGTCCCATATTTTATATATTTGAAATCACTACTAACAAAGTAACGAGAATGAGCAAGTTAAAACATATACAAGATTTATTATAGGAGAAAGAGCACCATTTTTTGATAGATAACAGGACTGTAATTTTTCGTGTTTCATCCAAAATGCTTTTTTTTTCTTAGCCGGTTTTTGGGGGGTTTTGCTGTTGCAGCTAGGGAAAACTAATAGATCAAGGAGAAACAGGAATTTGTGCCCAATCTCCTCCTGCTACTTAACTTTGTCATAAATCCCTTAACAACCACCAACTGCTCTGTTGTTATACTGCCCTTCTGATCTTAGCTAGCTATAGCAACCTGCTGTTTCAAAACCCCCTTGGTAAAAGCAGCATCTCCTTTGTGAAGTCCTTCCTAAGGCTGAACAGCAACTAGCCCAGGGACTGTGCCCCAACACCCTGCTACCTCAAGGCATGGCTGCTCCTGCTTTGTTTCACTTCACAAACATACGCATCATGACCAGTAAAGACAAGCAACTCATTGTGAGAATCTTTGATCCAATTCTTAAGACTTAAAATGAAAAAGAAATCCAATGCAAATCTTTTAGTGTTTCAAGATATTGTATGGGATAGAGTAGGAGTCACTCTAGGAATGATGTGGCCATCTCCCAGGTAATTTTTCCGAGCCTCCTGAAAATTAGTTTCCCACATGCTTATGAGGATCTCTACTGACATTATTTAATTAAAAAAATACTTCCAGATCAATGAACTGAGAATATTTTGGAATATTTTGGAAGTAAACTTGTGTGAAATAAAAGGGTCCACATATTTAGCTAGGAATAATAATAATAATAATAATAATAATATCATCATTACATTGCAAAAAATAAGTTGCAATATGCATAGGGCCTAGGATGAGGGAAAATCAGCCATGACCTTGGAACATTTAAGGTTGAGTATATTTAATTATTCCATTTATTTTCAGCTTACTCCTGGTCTTGTGTCCAGCAGGTCTCAGAGATGAATTCATGCAAGTGAATTTTCTTAGCATGTCTGTGATTATTTTTCACTTCACCTCAGTTGCAAAAGTAGCTGCAACTTTGAGCGGCAGAACAGCACAGAAGTGTCCCGCACTTCTGAACAGCAAGAGTTGTATGGTCCATCATGGGAAAGAAAGTTAGCTTTTTCCTTCTGTGTTGGTTTTTCTCCCCTTTTCCCTCTTCCTTTCTCTCCTTTTCTTTCTTAATCTTTACTTCACCAACTGTCTTTTTCAATTTAATCATTTTTCTTCATTTTCATTTTCAACTGTTTACATGGGTTGACAGTGATAGGACAAGGAGGAATGGTTATAAACTGAGACAACGGAGGTTTAGATTAGATATTAGGAGGAAGTTTTTCACACAGAGAGTGGTAATGCTCTGGAACAGGTTGCCCAAGGAGGTTGTGGATGCCCCATCCCTGGAGGCATTCAAGGCCAGGCTGGATGTGGCTCTGGGCAGCCTGATCACAGCCTGGCAGTGGTTGGTGACCCTGCCCGTGGCAGGGGGGTTGAAACCAGATGATCGTTGTGGCCCTTTTCAACCCAGGTCTTTCTGTGATTCTGTGATATGATTCTACGATTCTTCTTCGGGGATGTCTTCCAGGACTTTTTCTTCTTTTTTTGTCACTGTAGTGACTCAAGTAAGAAAAGAATGTTGCCTGTGGATTAGATAGCACACTTTTATCATGAAGTTTTTCTAGAAAGAAAGGAAGATTCAAAGTGAAATTGCTTAGTTTAGTACAGATTAGGGCCTTCTGGTACTTCACATGTATATAGATGAATTATTAACCTTGGGAGAGACCTAACAGTGTGTGTTCATACTACTTTTCAGAGTGTCTGAGTTTTTTCCTAGTATACATTGCCCACCAGGGAACCGTTACAATGATAATAATGAAGAGCTCACTAATTTCTATGACTTCTTGCTTTACTCTCACAACCTCTCCAGAATACATACCGCACAAACTATCCTTAGAAACCATAGCAAAGATTCACTACGGAGGCTATGACTCTCTTGCACTGCAAAATGTGACTACTTCGTTATACAGTGTCAATCCTTTATTATTATTGCTTTGCTAATGTTCATTTAAATTTAAAATAAAAGCTTCAGCACCTTTCAGGTGGCATTTGTGTGCTTTAAACTTCACATAGAATGAATTTAAACATGAATTTAAACATAGGCTTTTATGGGTTTTGCATGTTTGTTTTAATAAATCAATTTCTTTGTGTGGGGAAGAGGGTTTTCCAAATTCTTCAAAAGTGAGTGCCTATGGGCTGGAAATAATGATGTTTCTAAGGGACAGTGCATAGGTAAATGAATAACAAAGTTATGCAGTCTGCAATGTGGGATCTATTTCCAAAAACAACTTCGCAAAAGAAACATATAGTTTTAATGCAGAAATACTTATTTAGTATTTCAAGTGTGTTTTATTCATTTAAATAAAGCAATTTCTTTCACTTAAAATAAACTGTGAGCTTTATTTCAAAAATTATATAACTTTTGTTATCTTTTTTATTACTCATCATATTACTATCCTATCCTATCCTATCCTATCCTATCCTATCCTATCCTATCCT